TTATGACGTCATTGGCAGGCGACACAATGACACTATGGACACGCTCCGTGTCACTAGTTAAAATTGCTTATTTCTCTCGATTTAAACATTCTTTGAAACATTTGGGATAATGTAAGTACACAAGTCAGCAAAATAAATAAAACTGTTCTAGTGATTTTTGGATATTTTAATAAAAAAATCTTACATATTGTGCCTTTAATGCAGATGCACTTACTGTCATATATATTTGGTGGATTTTTTTTTCTTCATTAAATCTTTCGCCGCTAGAGGGCGCATATTCAAAATAAACATCCCCACAGCCGATGCAATCCGACGGGACTCGGGCAGAAATCATGTTCATGGATGAGCTAATGTATTAAAGATTTATTAACGTCGTAGTATAAAGCAGAGTGAGGCGGAAAGCCGTCGAATCAAAACGAGGCCGCTGAACGAGCATGACACACGGCTCGAAAGCAGCGGAGCTTTTATTATGCCACAGTCGACCGCTTCCGCTCCTTTCCGGAAAGCAGCGGAAGTAAGCAGCGCTGTTTTATCATACTAGATACATTTGAACGTTCTGTTATAAAGCTACTCTGTGCGGTCGTCACCTGTCTAATAAAATGCATAGCATATTAAAGCGTCTTTGGTGTTTCCATGTTTTCTACAAATCAAAACCTGAAATCGAGGGTGTACGACGTCATTGGCAGGCGACACAATGACACTATGGACACGCTCCGTGTCACTAGTTAAAATTGCTTATTTCTCTCGATTTAAACATTCTTTGAAACATTTGGGATAATGTAAGTACACAAGTCAGCAAAATAAATAAAACTGTTCTAGTGATTTTTGGATATTTTAATAAAAAAATCTTACATATTGTGCCTTTAATGCAGATGCACTTACTGTCATATATATTTGGTGGATTTTTTTTTCTTCATTAAATCACTTGCCATGAACCAAGACTGTTTCAGAAATTAAAAAAAAAAAAAACACCCAGTGGTTTAGCAATGGTATTGAGACTGTCGGCTTTGTGGCCTCCAATTATACCTTTAATCTCTTGTTTATAGGCACATTATTGAATTTACACAATGCTTA